TAAGCAAAATGGACAAATATATGTTTAGCCTTTCAGCTTGTTTCATATTTCACTGTTTCCAAACTCTACCTGCCCCCCCGTCTCATAAATCTAAGGAAGTACTTCTCTTTATATTCAGCAGTTCCCAAGTCTATAAGATGGACCTTTTTACCAAGTTTATCAGCCATGCCAATTGCCTTTGGGGAACATAGCTTGGGACTGAAATGGAGCCATTAACTACAAGATGGTCCTGGACAAAGTTGTTTTCTGCTGGGGCAGTCTTCTGTGCTAATGTACTATGGAATATATATTTCAGGCTCTGCAAATACTGGAAATATCTGGGGTAGAATTAGGGAGATTTATCCATTAGCTCTGCCTGGGCTAGAACCATGGTCCATTGACCCACTTTCTGTTTCTGATTATAGTGCAAAGAAATAATAATTATATTCACTTGTAATTATTGACTGAAACATCTATTCTTTATCCCCAACCTAGTAAGGAGGATGGTAATATCTGCATTTAACTTTTGAAAACATTGAAGGTCATGTAGGTTTAGTGACTTGCAAATAAATGTTGGAGCTGGAGGTCAACCAGCATCTTTTTGGTTCCTTTTACCCCTATATGACCCTAATTTCATTCTTTATAGGAATGAATTAATAGGGTTCAAATAGGCAGTTTTCTGTGTGTTTTTTTTTAAAAGAGATCATTTACATACCATAATATTGAACTTTTAAAATTGCACAATTCATAGGGTTTCAGCATATTCACAAAGTTGTGCAACCATTACCGCTATCTAATTTCAGACTATTTGTATCATTTCCCCCAAAGAAATGATAAAAATCTCATATCCATTAGCAGAAACTCCCCAATCACCTCTGCCTCCAGTTCCTAGAAACCATTAATCTACTTTCAGTCACTATGGATTTGCCTATTCTGAATATTTCTTATAAATAAAATCATACAACATATGGCCTTTTGGGGTCTGGTTTCTCTCACTTAGCATGTTTTCAAAGTTCATCTGTGTTGTAGAATTTTTCAGTACTTTATTCCCTTTTGTTTCCCAAAGAATATTTCAGAGCCTGGAGGCACCACATTTCATTTATCCATTTATCAGTTGATGGTCTGGGATGTCCCTGTGTGTGTGTGTTATGAATAATGCTGCTGGTAACATTCCTGTACATGTTTTAGTATGAACTTATGTTTTCTATGCCCTTGCATAGGAACCTAGAGGTGGGATAGCTGGGTCATGCCATAACTATATGTTTAAGTTTTTAAGGAACTGCCAAACTGGTTTTCAAAGTGGGTGCTCCATTTTACATTCTCACAGGCAAAATATGAGGATTCGAATTTCTCCACAACCTCACCATACTTGCTATTGTCTCCCTTTCTGATGATAGACATTCAATAGAGCTAAGATGTTTGTATAGTACATTTTATATCCTGAATTTTGTATTTCATTTTGTAGACATTCTTATATAATTTGTCAGTTTTAATGATTGCAGAGTAGTCCATCTGGTGGAATTGTTTCTGTGTATTTAAGCCCTCCTACCACCAGAGCATTTTAGCTTAGCAATAATGGGGCTCTGTTTCCAGATCTGCTTGTGTTCGGATTCTGGCACATCTACAATCTACAGGTGGGACTATAGTTGTGTAACTCAACCCTATGATTTCTGGTTTTCTCATCTATAGATGTAAAAAATGTGGAAAATTCAGGAATCCCTCACAAAGGGTTGTTGTGAATGTGCAATGAGCACTTCACAAAGCACTTGGGATGATGCCTCACATAGAGTTTCACTAAATACTTGATCTTATATTGTTAAATTTTAGATTATCCCAATTTTTGCATGTAGATAATTCTGTGATAAATACATTAATCAATTATTTCCTTAGTAATAGGATTTGAGTGAAAAAATAATATGTATATTTAGGTACACTTTACTGGTTGCAAAAAACCTACTGAAAAATTCTCTAATATTTACCTTCTTGACAACTTATTTTTGTTTTACTTTTTATTACAGAGAAATTCAATTATATACTCTAGTAGAGAGAAGCGTTTTTGAACCTCATGCACCCATTATTTAGCTTCAACAATTATCAGCTCATGACCATTTTTTTTTAATCTAAATGCTCACATCCACTTTTCTTCTTTTATTATTTTGAAGCAAATGCCAGATAACATATCACTCTATAAGTGTTGCAATATGTATTGCTAAACAATAAGGACATAAAAGCACATATTCATAGGATCATTATCATAAAGTATTTTAAGAACTTTTTTTAAATATTATGCAAATAGTTTCATTTATTTTTAGTTTGTTTGATGTTTTCCTAAATTCATTACAACCTAACTGATTTCTAGGTCACCACTAGCTTACTCATTACCCAAGATTGTCTTCATGCTTGTTCTAATTTTTAATTTAATTATATCACTGTTATTAAGACCATCTATCGTTTATTGAGTTCCTACTATGTGCCCTGACTTTACATAATTACTTCAAATCTTTCTACCCACCACAAGCCTGAATTCATCCCTGTTTATGTTTGAATAACCTGAGGCTAAGTGGGAGCCCGTGAGAACTAGAGAATGGCACACCAGCTTCCAAGTCAGTCAGACTGCGTGGCTGACTCAGGCACGCAGCTTCTGCAGCAGCCCCGGTCTCCGGGCTACTTCTCTTAGTTCGTTCCACAGGTGAAGGCCTGATCAGCCTTGAGCTCCTCTTTCAGATCTTCCCAGGCTACTCTGGCCCCTGGAGACATTCAACTCTGGGAATGATTTACTGTCGCTCACACATCATACACCAGGCTACCTTCAATCAGTGTTTCATTTGTTTGTTTGTGTGTTTGTTTAATGTGTGTCTTACCTGTTCAGAATATAATCAGCATAGTTCCTTCCACCAGGTAGGTGCTCAAGAGATGTGCTAATATTGGGATTGTGGTCTGGAAGTAGTGTGATGGTCATTGATAGAGACTTTCAAAGTTAAGATTTGTCTTCTATTTATCTTGATGATTTTGGATGTTCAGACAAATCAATCAGAGAGCTTAAGTAAACTCTTAACTTATAAACTATAAGAAACTGAGAGAATAATAGAATCCAGGGGTTTTGCTGAACTTCCTTTACATTGAAACTGATAATACCTAACCAATAAAAATAGGGGAGGAGGGAGGAGAGAAATTTGGTAGGACATTTCTAGTTAAAAAAATTTCATTTTAATTAAAATTTTAATTTTAATTTTCTGTCTTAAGTATAAAGAAAAAATGCACTATATGTGTCCATATTTAATATGCTACATAACAGAATGCTCTGAATTATACTTACTTTTGAACACACACACAAACCAAACATCAAATAAAAAACATTTTTCTGTTAACTAAGAGGTAGTAGCTCACAAGGCAGGCAATATGTCCCCAAGGAACTTAGTTCACTCAAGGAAAGTACTTGAATCAAGCTGATAATTAACCTGAATCCTCCCTGCCACAAGTCTCCACTGCACATCTTTGCAATCAGGAGGAATGACGTGACCTGTGTGGCAAGTGTGATGTCTTTCTCTGAGCCTTTAGCAAAAGTAAACTGGTATCCCCAACCTGCTAACAATATGCATAAATAGGCAACCTTCATTTTTTGTTGGTACAGTTGCAGGCTGTTATAGAGTTTTCACAAAAGTAGAACAAATTTGCAATAGAATTAGAAAGCAAAAGCCAGGTTTGATTATGTCCTAGTTGCCACCAATTCAGTGAGAGAATTTCACGGGGAACTAGGAACATACCACATGTCCGTTGGAAAGAGAAATCTATTATGCCAATACGGCTCATGTTCCCTGTGCTATTTCCATGACAGGGTTTTGCTGCCAGATCTAAGCTATGCTGTTCTGGGAAGAAACCTTGCTGTACAGACAAAACTGAAAGTGAACTTCAGAGTAGCCTCAATTAGAAGAAGAGAATATCTCAGCCTCGGTATAGATGCACAGACAATAAACAGGTTTTATAAATAAAGAAAATTGGAATGAGTTCTGGCTGAATTATCTTCTGATCTGGGAGTCTGAGAGCAAACGGGTGGGAAACCCTCGAGTGCTTTCCACACATCATCTTATTATCCCCAGGAACATCGGGGTAGGATTCATGCTTCCCATTTCCCGATGAGAAAACAGTCTTCACAGCTCCCACCTTCCTGCCTGGGGCTGGCCCAGCGAGGCTTCCGATCCAGTGCTGGAGCCAAATCCCGTGCTGGCTCCGTGAAGCTGCAGTGGGGCGAGGACTGCCCAGGAAGGCCCTGGGATTGGCCTGCTCCTGCCCCTGGAGTGCCATCGGCGTGAGCTGCCTCCTTTCCTCGCGGCGGGGGCAGAACGCTATGCGATGTGGCACCGAGGCCTATTTGTCCCAGGCTTTTCTCTTTGGAGGATTGGATACCAATCCCTAGACATCTAAAAAGCCAAGTCTGGTTGTAGGACGCCTATGCCTTTCTTACTGTTTCCATGGATCCCTCTCTTCTGTTTCCATGGGGCCTCTCACTTCCCCCAACACCATGGAGCACTGCTGATGTCTTGCACAGTGTCCGGCTCTCACTAATCTAAAGCCCACTTAAGACCCTCCTGATGCACAGAAAACACAAACCAGAATTGTTTGCATCTCCGTTTTAAAAGTAAGATGGTCCCAGTGAAATTTCTCTATACTATGCTGGAGGCAGGGACATTTTATCTTTGCTTCTTGAAAAATGAGCCTGACACTAGGTAGTTATTCCGCAAATATATATTAAACTGGACCTAGATTTCACAATGCAAACCCCAGCTTGCTCCTTTAGCTGTGCAATCTGCTCAAGGTTCTTAACCTCTGTAAGCCTCAGATTCTCATTTGTAAATGAGATTAATGACTTCTGCCACTTGAGAGTTATTGTGGAAAGCATATCATATAATTAATGTACAAACCCTCACACAGTGCCTGATGCATAGGATCAATAAACAAGCTATTATTGTTCACTGAATAGTAAATTCATATTTTAATGTGTTTTCTCCTCTTATATTTTGCAGAAGTTTCTGCTGTTTTTGAGGCTGGTACTTCAGTTACTTATGTGTTTCAAGAACCCTACCCAGTGACCAAGAACCTAAGCCAGTCATCCTCAGCCATCTATGCAGAGTCAGCTGCATCCAAGGAAAACATCACACTTAGCTTCATGACAGCTTGGGCACCCAGCCTCTTGCTCTATATCAATTTTTCTCAGGACTTCCTGGCTGTCCTGCTCTGCAAGAATGGTGAGTACTGATGGCAGGAAGCCTGACAAAGAGTCATGCTGGGATAGAGGAAAGTGTATGCTCTGCAGAACTCTGCAAAATTTCAACCTAAATTTGGTCTCACCTGAGCAGCTTATTTCCAGACCTCCAGGCAAACCCTTGATTATGAGTTACACTTAGTATTCCAGGCCAGGTTCCATTCATCCCTGAAGTCTCGAATGCATTGACTTTAATTTACCTCAGCTGTGCAGCAGTAATTCTTTATTATTTGGTCTGTGCTAGAATCCATCAAATGTAAAAGAGAAGATCATAAGTGTATCTGAATTTCAGAAGGACACTTGTCACATATATCCTGTCATCTGTAGTGCGGTCTCCTTTACTGAGACTATTACAGCAAGGGGCATACATGCAGGCTGTATTCATAGGAGTGAGTTGTCTGCGTTTTGAAGAGAAGGGGTGTATGTGAGTCATAACCCTGTGGGATATGGCTCTGAGTTCTGAGAATGAGATTCTGAAAAAGAATGAAAAAATTATGGACTATGTGAAGATTAGAGGGAGAAAGGAGTTGGAACCCACTTTATATGGGGAAGAGGAAGGGTGCCAGTCTTGATAGCTGTTAGGAAAAGTCAGGTTTTCTGCCCTCAGGACTTAATTCCAAGCTGCCATAATAAGGACCATCGACACAGTCATGGCAAGGACACTATGAGGTCAAATTCTAGAGGAGCAAACAATTATTAGGATAGGCAGAGAGGGCAAAGATGTCGACATCCCTGTAGTCAGGTCTCAAAAAACACTTTTCTGTCATCAAGAATATGCCTTTTCTCTTCTTGCGATTTGCTGATGTTATGAGATGCACCTGGGCTTCAGAACCACCCCCACAGGGTGGGGCATTGAAGGAAAGAGCCTGAGATGTGCAGCTCAGCTTGCATTGTGCCCCTCCAGACCTCAGACAGAATTTTAGCTATTTCTCTTGCTCTACTTTTCCTTGTTTTTCTTTTTCTTGTTTTCTTTGTTTCATCTTGCTTTAACTATTTACAGCATTGAAAATGGAGACTGATGTATGCGCCTAAAACAAGGATCAAAACTAGAAGGCCTCTGAGTTGAATCAGGCCTGAAGCACATAATAACAAAGTACAACTAGAAATAACAGGATTCATTCATTCTAAGAACAACATGACGGAAACAAAAAGGAGAGAGGGAGAGAGAGACGAGAATGACAACTGGTAACTACAGGACTATTTGGTCTTGAGGAGCCTTCAAAAGAGTAAAGAAACAGCATGGGCTTTAGACCCCTTGTCAACAGACATTTGCATGATTAGAACCATTAATTCCTAGTCTTTCACTCCATCTTGCCCTGTGAGGTTGACCAGGCGGGTGGAGGACACTGAGGCTTGGGTTAACTGATTAACAAGGCCAGCCAGCTAATTCATGGCATAGCTGAGACTAGAAACCATATCTCCTGATAATCAGTCCAACAACCTTTCCTTTAAACTGATGACCCTGCCTTGATGTGGTTGAATTACAAGTAAGATAGTTCCAGAGCGTGGAGATGCAAGGTTTTGCCCAAGGCAACTCTTGTGTGCAGTCCCCTAAGCACATCGAACCTGCCAGGCTGTTCCTATGGACATAGACAATGCACACCAGAGATCACTATATCAGACTAAACACATTCCTCCATGCACTCTATTATAACATATACTCTCTGCTGGGCTCTCTTCTAATTAATGTGCACATTAATTCTCACAACAGCCCTGTGTGATTGGTGGTGTTAATATACCCAGCACTGTATAGTTATAGAAACTAAGACATAAACATTTAATATCTTGATTAAAATTCTACAGCAAGTAAAGAGAAGAGCTGGGATCCTAGCCTCTCTCCCAAGTCTGGCAACATGTTCTGTACACTTCGCTGCAACAGCTAAACTAAGAGTGTGATTTATTTTTGAAACACATCGTGTTTTGAAAAAATTTGAATTTATTTAATTGGGAAGGCATTCTTGAATTTTGCCTCATTTCCTATTTTCTTATACTCTAAAGCCTCATGTCACTGAAAGATGTACTTGACCCAGTGGATACTTGCATTTTTAAAACCCTGGCTACACGGGGGAAGCAAAGAGACACTTGTGCCTTGCTCGCTTGTTTGTGTGAAGCTTAGATCTCAGTGCAAATGTAACAGTGTAGGCCTTGCAGCTCCGTCTCATAGGACATAGGTGTCCAAGTGTGGTTAACAATGGGGTGCACCCCTCGCTTTACTCAACTGCAGATGATCACCTCCCAAACCCCCAACCCCACTCCCCCACCAATGGTTTAGAGAACTACTATTGCAGTAGACAGTGATGGGTGACTCAGAGAGTTAGGATCCTGGACATATCCTGCCATCTCTGTTCACGGCAGAGGCATGACTAAGATATGTGCTCATTCCTGTATCCTTTCACTGACTCTCTAGCCCCAATGCACAGTATCAGGGACTCTAAAGACCAACAAAGATAAGCACGATAGGCTGTTTTCTGAACAATAAAAAAGAGAGAGAGACTCAAAAACTTCCTTAAACTTCCCGGAAGACAATCTAGATATACAAGGAAGCCAAGTAGCTCATATGTCTCAAGCAATCCAACTAGAAGTTAGATTTTGCCTAACTTTAAGGATGAATCTCCTAGGAACGCAGGGGTTATAATAATAAAGTAAAATACCTGGAGTGATAGTGGATTCCTTGTATTGGAAGTCATCAGAGAATAACTAAATGATGATTTATTGGGGATAGAATTCCAGCAGTGAATGACACAGCATAACAACCTCCGAGTATCTTTCCAAGTCTGAGGTTTTGTGATTCTGTATTGCTTTCCTGTGTAGTGGGACATTTATATTTCTCTCTGCTAGGGCTTCACTTGCGGTCTTTAAATGCTTCAATGAGGAATTAATGATTGGCACCCTTACAGCTTGTTCCCAGTATGTTAATAGTGTTAGGCCACTGGTACGATGCCAGTGAATAATATTGGTCTCACTGTACTATACAGGGGCAGGAATACTTTAATGTGACTTGGATACACTTTTGTGAAAAATATGCCTCTGAAAATACTAATAGAAGTTAAGAATATTTACAGGTTGAAAAAAGAGATTAGGAGAGCAAATCTGGTAAAGGGCTCACTGGGAAAAGTCTTTCTCTGGAAGGTTTTATAAGACTGATTCACACCTTTCTGAGACGGAGCTGAGAGTCTTCTGTTAGTACAGGTTGCTTAACCTTTCTTTGATTTAAGGTGCCTTTGGGGATTTGTTGGAAATTAGGATGAGAGAGTCACTCTTCAAAGCGGTTCTTTTTGTCTCTCAGGAGGAAGAAAATGCCCACAGCATATCAGATGAAATGGCTCCCGTCGCGCACTCTGGGTCAGGAAGCCAGGGGTGAGCACGGGTGGGTGACCTGTGCAAATACTGGACAAAATTCTTGGCTTGCAGATTCATTTATAAAAAGGTGCCGAGGCCGAAAAAGAGGAGCAATGTGACTCAAAGTCATGTTTGCAAGCCTCTCCCTGGCAGAGGCTGGATTTGGCAGGTTCAGAATTCTTTGCCCTTTATCTTTTTCTTGAAATTTCTCCCACTGGAGACTTACTTAGGTTAAGCTGCCCTCTTATCTTTTCAAATGAAAACAGGTCCTTCTTCTTAAAGGAAATATCATTTTAATTCCTGGGAAGAAAGAATAGTGGCAGAAGAGAGGCATTTCTGAGTCAGAGTCTCGGGAGAAAGGAGCCCTTGTGGCTTCACAGCCGGGGCTTTGGGCCACCGGCAGCGTCTCAGAAACCTGGGCACTGGTGGAGAGGGGCCCGTGGAGGAGGGAGAGGGCGTGGAGACAGAGACGAGGGTGTTCTAAAGATCCGCTACACTTTCACAGCGCTGCACTGAGTGATGGCTCGGCCTCTCCATGGTTCCATGGCGCTCTCTCCCCAAATCTCTACATTTAACAAAGACTCACCGAGAGTGCACCGTGTGGCAGGCACTATTTCATGTACCAGAGAGACCAAGGTAGAGAGGGTCCTGTCCTGCCTTTAAGGATCTATTCTGGGAAGAGAGACATAACACATACTAAGGTGACAATATGACCTGAAAGCTAGGATAGCATCTATTAGAGGCCCAGTAAGGCAAAGAAGAAAAGGGTGAGTGGGGGGGTCAGAAAGCTACGGAGACAGTGTCCCTTGTGTTGGGCCATGAAACATAAGTAAGTTTCTCCAGGCAGACACTATATTTTTAAAATAAAATAAGATGCTTCTTTATTCTTCATTTTCTTGATTTTAATACCATTGTGCATGGAATTATATATATATATGTGTGTGTGTGTGTGTGTGTGTGTGTGTGGTGTCCCAAAATATGTATACACACACTTTGATTATAAAAGCAATGTTTATTAAAAATACATTTAATTTTCAAAATTAAGCTACCAGCTGTATACATTTTTGGGGAACACCCTGTATATATTTCCCCAATCAATCCCCTATTCTACTCTTTTATCATCTGTCCCTCTTAGCTCCCTGATAGTAGAAATAAAAAATAAAATATAATCTATGACCCTGGCCCAGGAGCTCAGTTGGTTGGAGCCTCATTCTGTGCACCAAAAGGTTGCGGGTTTGATTGCTGGTCAGAGCACATACCTAGGTTGCAGGTTTGATTCCCAATTAGTGTGCATATGGGAGGCAACTGATTGATATTTCTCTCTTACATTGAGCTCTCTCTTTCTCTTTCTCCTTTCCTTTCTCTAAACATACCCTGGAGTGAGGATTAAAAAATATATGTGTTTATATAAAATATGTGTTAATTCTAAGGCCATCAGTCTGTAGTCAGATCATTTTGGTGCAGTCTAAACAGGACTCCTGTTCACCTTCCCCTGGTGGCTACCCAGTGCCTTCCAGCTCTGAATCATTCCCCTGACTCCTTTTAATTAATTTGTTTATAAGGCCATCAGTCTGTAGTCAGATCATTTTGGTGCAGTCTAAACAGGACTCCTGTTCACCTTCCCCTGGTGGCTACCCAGTGCCT